ATTCACTAAGTATAACATTGTTTTCTGCTTCCTCTGTTACGTGATAGTTTATTTGTTTCCCCAAATCTGAACAGAAAAATCAAACTAATTTCACTTTGAGCTTTGATTTGTTTATGCTGGACAATATGAGATTAAGCAAGTACTGGGAAGAGTTTTTCTAGCAACATCCTCATGCCATACTTAGTGAAATTTAGTTAAAAGCAATTTTTTCTAAGAGTCCATTCAAAGATCGTGCCCCTAAGCTGTTGAGGTGGTGGAAAAAACTGCAATTTAGATGTCACCCAAAAGACAAATCTTCACTCATTAAGAAGTCCATTAGCACACCTGGGGAAAGGCAGGGACATTTTCTATTCTCTCTGAAAACAAGGGAAGGGCTTCAAAGCTGGGCACTGAATATATTATTCACCTTTGAAAAAGCCATTCAAGGGGATCAAAGAGCCAGCAGCAAAATTGGTAACAGCCTTTTTGAAAATTAATCAAAACTCAAACAAGTGGCTGAATTCACTGACAGGATGAGAAGGTTTCAGGAACTTGAAGGCTCTTTCCAGTGATGCCATGGAATCCCAAAACCTCACAAATAGGTTTTGTGCCAAGTACATAAATCACTTACTGAGAATATTCATCGCTGTTCTTTCTGCCTCTATCTACAGCTTGCATTCATGTCTCAGATCTCATCTCAGACATGCTCTGAAATCATCTCTGTGCTCCCAGTTCTCCCTGCCTGTGCTTCCTCTGTTCAGTTTTTGTGATCTGACTGTGATGCCTGAATATCTCAGCTCTCCCTCACACAAATATTTCTGCCATTCGTGTCCCACACTGACTCCCACCTTGGAGGATTAAAACTTCACCGGGTATTTTAGAACACAGAAAAGCAGGGCAAAGACAAAAAGCACCCCCTGCCCGTTTTCAAGTGTGGAATTCAGTGTTCAGTCAGTCCTGAGAGTTGGCACTGATGCCAACTAAGAGCAGAGAATCAGGACATGCTCTGAAATGCATGATTTTTTTTTTAAGTGAAATTTTGATGGGCAGGAAAGGCTCATAGGATGAGCTTGTGAAAAAAAAATTGAAGGGAAGTTGAATAACTGACAAAGGCAGAGAAAACTTCAGCCTTTCTCATAAACTTCTCAGTCTCTTGAACATATCCCAGCAAAATCTTCCCCAAGGCCTGTCTCCTCCCATCTGTTCAACTCCCTTCTCAAAATGCCAAGTGCTAATTAAAAAGCCTTGAGATGGGAAGCACAGGTCACTGAAGCCAATTGTCACCTGTGTTTTGAAGGGATCTGGGACCAACCTGGAGCTCCACGAGCTCTTGTCCATTTGCCAGCTACATTTGCAGTCACTCAGTAAAAATCTTCCTATCCAACCCCTGCCCTGCAAGTAATCCTGGGATCTTTATAGTGTAATGCATGTAGCGTTGTGTTCTGTCAGAAAACTACAAGAAATGCAAAAAAAATGAAGATTTCTTATGCAACCAAAAAGCCAACTCAAATTTTACAAGCTCAGTTGCGTCTGTAAAAATAGCTGAGCAACCCTGCAGGTTGTTTCAGCCACACCCAAGCCGTGTTTGCTACTCTTGACTCTGAAAAGCTCGAGGTCACCACAGCAGGGTCATGACTCCACCACCAGCCATTCACTCAGCTCTCACAAAAAGTCCTGCCCTCAGCTCCAAGCTCTGACACAACCCCCATCCCAGAAGCTTTCAACCCCAAAGCTAAAGACTTATTTCCCATCTTTCCCTTCAGCCAGTTAAATAGATTATTTCAGGAGTCTTTTTGGCTGAAAATGACTACCTAGAGGATATTTTCTGTGTTTGTTTTCTCCCTCTAACTCGATTACCTGTGGAACAAGAGATGCTGAGGCACTGATTGCCTCACAGTCATTTAGAGGAATATCTTTTCAAGATTGTTTTTAAGACACTGGGGTAATGCTTGAACACTCCTCTGTGTATTGGGCTGTATTTATCTGACTGTATTTAACTGCATAACCTTATGCAGAACAGTACTTGCTATACATACATATCCATGTCATTACATTTATTCACTCATAGGTATTCTTTATGAGACAACACAGCCATACTAATTTGTTTTGTTTATAAACCCTATGCAATTAGTATTACCTTGAGAAAAAAATGAATTTATTAGCTCCATGCTAATTTTGGTAGAGCATTTAATTATCACTAATGCTTGAAGAATAACAGAATGATAACTGAGGATCCTCATTTTCTGCTATTGCAAGTATTTCTGTAAATTAAAGAAAAATATCTCCCTTTCTGTGCCGTATTTGCCTACAGGTGGGATTCATGGCATCTAATCCCAAAGAGGTGAAACCTGGAAGTCAGTGTCCATCAGCAAATTCACTGAAATGATTTGTATTTTTGGAGTGTTTCCATCTCTTCCCAGTAGTACTGAAAGAGGCTCAATGAGCAGCTTTAGACAAGATTCCTAACTTTACATAGATAATTTTAGATGATTAATCTAAACTCCATCAAGCCTCCCTTAATGATCAATGAGGGCAGACAAGCAGTTCCAGGGAAGGATTGCTCCTGCCTTTCCCTTTCAGCAGAGTGGTTCCCTGTACAGGATTGTGTCTCACTCCATTAACTCCCTCCAGGCTAAACAGGTTGATTCTTCCACACATCCAGTCCTTTATGGAGGGGAATTTGAGGTCTCCAGGGACCAGGTCAGCAGGATCAGCCTGAATATCCCTCCAGCACAAATTAGCCAATATTAACCATAACAGAAATTTAGACACCCAGCTTTGTTTTCCTGGCAGCTCAGCACCTTGCCATGGATTTGGATCCAAATGTCCATTAGCACAAGAAACTTTTTGCTAAAGCAAATGTAAAGCTCAGTGATAACTCCATCTATGTTTCCATTCTCACCTCCATTCATTAAATCAGACTGAACTCCTCCCCCAGCAATGGGTGTTTGAAGAACAAAGCAGTTCAGCACAGCAGGGAGAAAGCTGAAACCAGAGTTTTTTCTGTTCTTCATCCTCTGTTTCCTGAGACTCTGATCTCTTTTAAGACAGGAAAAGTCATTTTTATACATTTCAGCCCCCACTGCTCTCTGTTCCTTGTCACTTAGGAGCAAATGGTAATTTTTAGTGTCAAGGACTCCATTCTGCAAGGCACAAAGTATATCCTGAGCACACAGCTCCCCGTGGAGATGATGGGAGGTAACAGTACCTGGTTTCACAGAGGAAGTTTTCAGGATTAACCTTCTGGTCTAATTTTCATATGTAAATCACGAATTATTTCCAAAATCCACACAAGAATTATTCCTCTGCTCTGACATGATCCTTTGGAATACAAAAGAACTGTTTACTCATCACATCCTCCGAGTCTCTGGCCTTCCCTGACTGTTTAACTCGGGGTGCAAAGCTTTCCATCAGACCTATTTTGAGACACTGATATTCAGAGCCCCGACTCTTACCAGATATGTCATTGGTGTTCATACATGAGCAACAGCCTGAGCAGAGCATGCAGTTTATAGAATTTCTTTTATTATGGGCACAGTCTGCTGCAGTAATGCTGCCCCATTAAAATGATGTATGGCAGCCCACAGATGTGCATGATACATCACTCCAGATTAGCTCCACTCTGCTGACAGCTGCAAGAAGAAGTTGTGCCTCTATTAGGTGTAAAAAGGCCAGTCCAGATGCCAAAGTCACTCTGCCTGTGGCATTCTAACACTTTAGGCTGACTAGTTTTCCCTGAAAAAGAGTATTACGCAGGATAATAACTATACTGGCAAGGCTTACATAGCAAGGACCTGTAACTTGTCCCTTGTGCATAAATCTGTGTAAATACAGAGGAAACAACAAGATCCAGAGGATGTGCAGGAGTGAAAATTTACCTCCCATCCTTCACCTTTTAAAACTGAAAGGTCAAGACCAGTCTGTAACCATGTAGGCTCTCACAATTAGCAGAAGGCCCTAGAGAAGCATTCCCTCCATCTGCCTTTCTCAGGACAGGATGAAACACCTCCCTGTGAGGTGACTGTCTCCCTCCTGGCTCCAGCAGGAGCCTGAATCCCAGCCCACACCAAACATTTAACTGGGAAATGACTAAAGTTGGAATTACCGAGTCCCTGCTAATCACACCCATAGGAAGGTTTCCAAACACTTCCCTGAGGCTGAGGATTGAGGGGAAAGCGGAGATGTGACTGTACTTGTACTTACACCAGTTGTTCTTAACCAGCCCAGGCAATGCCAGGGGCAGAGCGTGGAGATCAGGGAGGGATGGATGTGCCTGGAGTGTGTTCCTGTGCTCACACACCTTCCCTGATGTCCAGTGTTACCATCTCACCTGCTGCCTTCAGTGCTCAGCACACGAGACAGTTCATGCTCCTGCCTGATGATATCAGAACCAGATGCCTTCAGCAGTGAAATCATCTCTGCCCCCTCTGAGATGCAAATGTCCCAAATCCAGCAGGAGAAATGTCCCAAATCCTTTTCAATTGTCCTCCTCCTTCTGCAAAGTTGCCTTTCTCAGGACAACTGGGACAGCAAGCTGTCCCCTTCTGTCCCTCTAAAGCAATACTACAACTATTCTAAATTAGGGATGCTTTTCTGCCCTTTGGAAACCGCAATTCTAATGAATGGAAATGAAAAGACATTTATGGATGGCATTTTGAGGCTGGACAAATTTAATGGAAGGAGTTGGGTCAAACCTCTAGCTCAGCGATATTTTTTTTCTTTCCTCCCCTCTTACACCCGTGTCTGTTTTTAAATTTTATTTTATATTTTAAATCCTTTCCTTATTTTTCTTTCTCTCTACCTGCTCCCTGCCAGGAGAAAAGTTCCCCTGCCTCTGCACACTTCCCTCCCCAGCCCTCCTGGATGCTGTGGGGCAGCTTCAGAGCCATCCAGCTGCGGGCAGCAGTGGCAGGAGCCAGATGTGTGCGGTCCCCCCTCCCTCGGAGCATCCCCGCGGGCACTCGCTCACTCACTCACTCACTCACTCACTCACTCACTCACTCACTCTCTCACTCACTCACCAGCGGCAGCAGCGGCATCCAGCACAAACTTCGCATCCTCGGCAGCCGCCGCCGGGTCCTCCCGCTCTCTCTGCCTCTTCTGATGCTGCCAAAATCCGAGGCTCAGCCCGCCCACACCTGCCCAAGGCCCGCCCCGAGAGCCCCCGCACCTCCCCGCAGCCCCCGCTCCCTCCTGGGGGAGCCCGACATCCCCCGCAGGAGAGGGCTGGAAGCGGAGGGGGGATTCTCCAGCATCCCCTTGGGATATTGGGATATTGGACTCACCTCCACGCACCTGCCCTCTGGCCACAAAACCGTGGGGAGCCGGAACGTCGACGGGTCTTTTCGGGTGTATTTGGAAGCAGAAATTCCCTGTGCAAGAAGAGATGCTGAGTTCACCCTGTGTGTGGCTGGTGGCTGCAGGTTTTCCAAGGATCTGGGTTCTGTGTGTGTGGCTGGTGGCTGCAGGTTTTCCAAGGATCTGGGTTCTGAGTGGGTCTGACAGCGTGGGATTCCCTGGGGACTCAGAGATGGAGTTCCTGCATTGGCATCCCCCTCCTCTCCGCTAGAAATGTCCCATAATTTCCTCCACGATTTGCATAAGGCGTTTTTGGCCCCTGTGTTACGAAGATAACCTTGAACACACCTCTATTTCTTGGTGCTAAAACAGCCAAAGCTTTTCTTGCCTACAGCTTAGATTATTTGGAGGGAAAAGAGGCAAAAAAACCACAGTAATTTTTTAATTGTCAGGGTTCATAGGACCCAGGCACCAGCTCTGGATTTTGCCACATTAAATACTGCACCAAGCAATTTCCAGGACCTGGGAGAACTGAAATTGTGGACATGACAAAAGCATTTTCTCTTGATAAGACTGAAGTGTGGATTCATATCCAGTTTATCACTCATTATTTCCCACTGGTGTGAAGCACACAAGTTCTGTGTAGTCAGAGGAGATCCAGAGTTTGCCTAAATCAGCTCAAAATTGGCATACAATACCATTAGAGGAAATAAATATTTGTGCAGCTTTGTCTATAAATGTATATAAAACTTGCATATTGTATATATTAACTTGCGTATTTGTGGAGAGCTGGACTAAAATGCTGAAATGGGAGTGTTTTGGATCAAAATGTTCCCTAATTTGGTCTTGCAAATCAAGGGAATTTGAGTCTAAAATAAAACATTATCCTTGGGCTCATGTTAGAGAGGCAGTTTTGCAACCTGCACAGAATAAAGAAGGCAAAGGCATGATTTTGTGGGATAAAATGTATAACTTACTTCTCATTTAACCTTCTCTTTCCTAAATGTCTGTCTTTCGTTAGTTCACAATGGCATCTGATCACTTACCTGCACAGATAAGCCTCAAACACACCTTTAAAAATCAACTTTGTTTTAAAATGAAGAGTTCAAAACCTAAAAAAAAAAAAAAAAAAATAATAATTTGAAGTCTGATACTGATGGTTTTGCTCATGTGTAATTAATAAGTTAAAGCTGTGGCCAATTCTCACCAGTCAATAGTTTGGTTCTCTTCGCACTGGAATAATTTTTAGGATCCCACTACAGGGCAGGCACCACGTGGTACCAGGTAGTTGCTAATTCTAATGCAAAGGAAAACACAAAAGTAGAGGCTTATCAAATCCCCCCGGGGCAGGAACAGTTTATAATTCCTGCTGAGCATTATTCAGCCAACTTGAGTGCACAAGATCATAGACTACCAGAATAATTCAGGTCGGAAGACGAAGATCTGGCCCCAACCATCTCCCCTCAAAACAGGTCAGATTTCAAAGTCAGGTGATGCTGCTCAGGAATTTGGTTGCTGTGTTTCAAATAAAAATTGCTCTCAGGAGTCACCCTGCAAACACAAAAGTGCAGCGGGGTGAACATCAGCGTGACATTCCAGTCCAAAACATTTCAGCTGAATTCTATTATTTAATGCCTCAAAGGTCACTTAAATGAAGCTTTTTAGGTCATCACAACCAAACTGGAGCAAAACGAAGCGTGAGCCACTTTTTTTGGTAGTTTTTTTGTGCAGTTTCTTGATCTGAATATTCACAAGAAGCGCTCAGGAGAAGGTATTGCTTCACTGAGCAGACGTGGTCTCTCAATGTTTGCTTTCTCATATATTTTCTCTCCTCCATCTGTTTTTCCTATCTGATCTCCAGCTGATCAAAAATCAGGCCACATTCTTCTCTTTGAGTTTTAAATTAATTAGCTGGAAATTCCTCTTGTAAGAGTATTTTTCCACGCTAATAAAGGCAACAAAACCTGTTCTTGTCAGGTTTTTTGTAACATCTCACCATAGCTAATGTTATAAACCTCACCTATATTAAAGTCTGAGTCTGCTTATAGCCCTTCATTATTTTAAACATTATTTTTTATAAGCTAAAACCTTATTTAGTCTAAAACCTAATTTCTGTTCATCATATTAATTTGCTTTATCAATTCTACTCTCTCTTTGTTATTTCTCTGTACGTACAAAAAAAAAGAATCCAAAAATGAAATAATGCAAGAAAGAAATCATACTTCTTTCTCATAATATTTTCATATACTCTGATGCATTTTGCTGCTTTTTGTCACAAAATAGTTCCTGCCTATAAGTAAGAATTATTTTCTTTTTCTCCAAGAATTATAGGATAACTAACCAAAGTTAAAGACTAGCTTTGTTTTCCTACTGCTCTGCGACATCAGCCTGGCTCAGAATATCTGATGTGCATAAAAATGTCCTCTTGTTAACATGGACAAGCCATTGGGATGGTTTAAAACCTAATCAATGAGACAATAGACCTGAGATCCCTCCTAATCCCCATCATGGATATTCTGAATCAATTGATGCCATTAAATGAAAATTACTTGACATTTACTGAGCTGCTTAGAATCTTTATAGAAGCTGGAGAATGGGTTTTCAATGCCATATGTTACCTGAATGAGGCTTTTTCATAACAAAAATCTGTCTGAAATGCAACTGCATTTCACCTGAGTGCCTGTACAAGCAATTCCTTAGATAAGAAAAGTGGGGTGTACCAGCCTCACATTGCAGTGGGAGCCATCAGCCAGGGAATAAAGGTGGTTTAATTGACATTTCTAAACAACTTTTTGGTAAATCTGACTAAAGGTGCAAAACAAAAAGCCCTGGGAGTATGGGAAGGAGGCTGCAATTACTGAAAATACATCATTCAGCAGCTGGGTGGAACATGACATTGCTGAGAAACATATTGTGACTGTAATTAAAAGCAAAACTCTGCACTAGTTATAAAAGGAGGGTATAAAAAAAGCATGGAAGCTTTATTCCCGAGGGTGATGTCTGTGGGATGTTTGAGACAGAGGGGGGAAAGCAGGAAGAGAAAACAACAGAAGGAATGGGCTGGATTTGGGATACTAAAAAGATAAGGGACTAAATATCAGACAAGTAATTAGAGCTACAAGAGCATAATTTGTCCAATTCGTGTTCTTTTTAAACTATAGGTGTGTTACCTCCTTACTATTTTTTCTTGGATAAAATTGACTCCTGCTGTGTCCTGGGGCTCTGATTCCATGTGTCCTCATATTCTGCTGCAGTTACTTGGCCTGGGACACCACAGAAATATAGGCAGAAATCATGGACCTTTGGCTTGTGTGGATTCTGTCCTGTACACTTAATTCCATCCAAGTATCTAAAACACCTTGTGAATTTGAAAAATAGATCTGATTTATACCAGTCTACCACAATCATATTATTTCGACTCCTTTAAAAATAAACTCCTTCATTATTTTCAGTATTTCTACTTAAAACAAACCACAAATCTGTCAGTGAATCCTTCTCTATTTCTATGTTATCTCAGTTGTGAATAAGAAAGTTATTTTTTCCAACCTAAGGGGAGTTTCTTTTCCCAGTGACACACAATGAAATCTTCATTCCTATTAATAGTCTCTAAAGAGTTGACAGACCAGCTGTTCCTGTCCTCAGAAATAGTTTTATGCTTTGTATTATTCATTTGTTTTCCTCTGGCCATTTCAACTCAGTCATTTCTGGTTTGTTTTGTGGGGTTTTTTTCAAGGTAAGTAGAACAACCTTGATTTTTATTCACTAAAATGCAGTTTAAGACTGAGCTTGCTCCCTTTATAAAGGCCAAGAAAAGATCCATGTTTCTCCTAGGTCCAGGTTGAGCCTAGAAAATAGAATAGAGGTAAACATGAGGGGCCTATTTTTAACAACACAGAAATTCAATATTGCTGTACGCTGGTCTCAGTGTTTAAAAGACAGAATGATAGAATCTTAGAATGGTTTGGGTTGGAAGGGACCTTAAGGATCATCTCATTCCACCCCTGCCATGGGCAGGGACACCTTCCACTAGCCCAGGTTGCTCCAAGCCCCATCCAACCTGGCCTTGGGCACTTCCAGGGCTGGGGCAGCCACAGCTTCTGTGGGCAACCTGTGCCAGGGCCTCACCACCAAAAGAGCATCTTTTTTTCCAGACTTTTCCCTTTGGTTATCCCAGTTTCTCCACTGTACTGTCGAGGGGGCTCATCCCCCACCCCTACAGTAGCACCTGTCTCACCTAATTCCGGACATTAAGAATGTAAATGTGAACTGATTATCCCAGGTTATTTTCACAGTCACAGACACCATTGAATGCAATTTCCCTGACATAGTTTAGGTGCCTACAGAGGACAAGATAATCAATTCCTCAGGGCTCACTCCTCTCCACCATCTCTAAAAGGAGGGTGAGATGATTGCTGGGGTGGAGATGTTTGCTTTAGGGGTAAAATTCCACAAACCACACACATCAGGTTATGAAGACCTCATGCAGGCATCTCTCTGGATGGGTAAGCTGGAAAAGTGAGCTCCTGCTGTGGTTAATTGCCAGTTTAAACTAATTAGCCAGGTTACCCTTATAGTTGTGGGAATAACAGGAAAAGTTCCTGCTAGAAACTCATTTGTGCTTCGTTGTGGCAGGAGGTCCTGAGTCCTAAGCCATACTGTCTCTTTTAAGTGGCTTCTCAGGGAGTTGTGAGGTGGAGTTTGTTAAAGACACAGAGAAATTTAGGTATCAACATGTCTAGATGCAAATTGGATGTTTAAGCTTCCACTGGGATCAACAATCACCTAAAATC